GAACCGAAATTCCTGCGTTTTTTGGTACTCTTACATATATATATATATTTGATACACGGAGCTTTTCTTTTCTTGTGTGAATAGATCCCTTGTTCATAACGCCCTTTTCAAGCTCCGTTCATTTCCTTCGAAAAGAAGAAGAAGAAGAACTCCCACCTTCACCAACCCTCCATGCAATTGTGTTCGCCTCTTTGTTTTCCCCCCGCCCATCGCCCAATAGCCCCCCCTTAGTTAATAAAGTTGACACAGAAGAAGTGCAACAATAGACTCCCTAGCACGAAATCCGCAAACGCACGCTCATGCGAGATGCTCGCAAAATGCTCCTTGTTCTCCGAGTTTGTCTGGATGCGCAGCGAGGCCGTGAGTACGAATTGGCCGACTGTTGCGCTGAAGCCGGATAGGAAAGCATTGAATGGCTATTTGTGTCTAGTCAGCTTTGTTCCATTCTATTTGTACTATTTGTGTATACTGCTGCGTCTGAAGAGAGGGGTGTACGTACAAAGTTTCCAACAATGACTACGTATGCGAATTGCAGGGCGCCAACTACGACGAGGAAGGCGAGGAAGATGTCGAGGAGCTTTGTTCGCTGCGGTGTCTTGGTCATGTATTTATCCCATATTCCTTGTGTGATTGCCGCGGCGCTCGTGTTGTTGGTCGTGCTTGACTTGCTGGAGCGCGAGGATGCTGCTTGTGCGGGTGCGGAGGGCGTGTCTACGGTGCCGGGTGTGCGTTGCTTTGGCGGCATGGTCTATGTTGTATGTTGTTGTTTATTAACGAGAGGAAAGGGAAGGTCTGGCGGAAAGACGAGCGGCCCTATTGTGTGCAATTGGGCGTGTATGGGTTGCGGTGATGGAGGTCGTGGTTGGTAGTACACAGTAAGCTTGAGGCCAGATGTTCGTGGTTGGCCCGAGCTGAGGGCGGGATTACGACGAGGGCAATCGCCTTGCATTCGCGCCGGGCTTCGGGGTGTTCGGATATCCGCTTTTCCCCGCAAAAACACCTTTTGTATGTATACTTAAGCGTCGCTGCACTCCTTGAAGCTTCCATCGCAAGATTCACTGATTGCGTTATCCCAATTCAATTCCATTGGAATACCCGTGCCGGTCCTTGTTCATACAAAGCAATCATGGTAAGCAGATGTTCTGGCGATTCCTTTAGCTTCGTCATATACGAGTCAGGTCTTTGAGAGAGGAACAAATGCTGATAGAAAGATACAGAGCTCCCTCGGAAACATTGCTCTGGTCCTCGGTGCCCTCACCGCTGGAGGTGGTATTACGGGGTACGTGAGGACTGGATCTGTGCCTTCAATCGCAGCTGGTTGCACCGTCGGTTTATTGGTACGCCCTCTTGCCCTTACTAATCACATTACCTCTTCTTTTGTACCAGGCATCTAAATATTCATAATAGTACATCCTCGGTGGCCTTCGTGTCAACAGCCGCGCTGCATATGGCGTTGAGCTCGCTCTTCTCGCCTCCGTCATCTTGGCTGGTAGCTCTATCCCGCGTGCAATCAAGTCTGGAAAGCCGCTACCTATTGGATTGAGTATTCTGGCGACTTTTGGCCTTTGGACTTTTGGAAATGCCTTTATGAGCAAGCGCGCTTGATCTGGGAAAGCCGGTCTGGAAGTTCGATGGATTTCGGGTCGGGATTCTCGATAGGATTTCTTGTTCTATATGCAAATTCCGCAGGCCGCAACAGTAAATGGAATTGCAAATGTACTGCTTCGGCAATGTCTCCTCCTTCTGGCCACTCCGCACTGATACGGTCCACTTATGCTCAAGCTTCAGATTCCGGATATGATTTGGATCTCTCAGTCTCGTGAGGTGCTACAGAGTTGTTAACATTTCTGATAGGCTCCCCACAATCGGTGCAAACCAGGGGGGTTCGGGTTATATGGAAGAATGCGAGATCCACCACACCAACGTTCAGCCACTATTACTATGGAAAATCCCCACCTACTGAGTATCACAGCCCCGCCTCGCGTGCCAACTGCCGTGTCTCTTTTATAGCCTTGAAAAGCTTAGCGCAACTCATTAATACCATATGAACGAATGCCGAATATCGCGAATATGATGCCGGATCAAGCTGGGGTTGAGACTCATCAAAATTAATAGCTTCCAGCTTGCATCGCACAGCTTTATCCTATCGAAGGCCAATGGCTGCCAATGAATCGATGTTTTCTGTCACAATACTCGGGCTGAAACCTGCCTAGCATGCCCGAACGTCCTAGATCAACCAGTCTCGTGAATTTAGGTTGTGATGGACCACAGATTCGAGGCTGCAGATTGGTCATTCGAAGGTCTACCGCGGAATTCTTCAACATCTTCATTTATGATATACAAAAACAATGATGGCGTAATGTGGATGGATGATCTGGAGGCGTGGTATCATGTGGCTCTCCGTGGTCGCCATCAATACTATTACCGATCACATAAAGAGCCGGAAGATACCCTGTTGACAGTGATTGTCGACGCTTAGTAAATAACTTACTATCCGCAGAAATCCATCGAGTATGCGCTACACCCGGATTGTTGGAAGTGCTGCTGTGTTTCTTGGGTACAGTGAGTATCGCAAGCTCCAGAAACTAAAATTTTCTAACTCCAAAAAGCCCTTGCTCAAGAAGGTGAGGCACAATCTACTGTTGTCTATGATGCAGAAACGAACATTAGCTACTCTTCATACACGGAGCCGGCGACAGGAATGACTTTTGGTGTTGCGCTCCCAAAGAATGTGACGGACCCATACGATACCATCATCAGGATTACTGCTCCAGTTACCAATCAGTGGGTAGGCTTCTCGTGGGGAGGAAACATGGTTTGGAACCCGCTGAGCGTTGCTTGGCCAAACGGACAGTCCGGAGTGGTATCAGCTCGCTTCGCCTTGTGAGTCTCAAGCCATAGGTTGTAAAAGGCACTCTCTAATACAGTGTAGTGGTATCGGTCTGCCTCTTGGCTACGACGGAGCCGAACACACGTACCTCAAAGGGACCAAAACAAATAATACCCACTGGACTGTCAATGCTCTCTGCAAGGGGTGCACTGGATGGCAAAATAGCGAAGATGCTCGCTATTCTTTGAATGGTACCGGCACAACGGAGTTCGCTTGGGCGTACGGTACTTCTGCGGTCGAAGATGCGGCTCGGAACAATTCGGCCTTTAACGTCCATCAAGCTTGGGGCAAATGGATCCACAACCTCGATGCTGCGCGGATCGATAATTTCGATTCTTTGGTCCGGGCTAATTTGTTGACGGGGCCCATAGCTAGTCCTTCGGCTGACTTGACGACAGTTGTGACAAGTGTTGTGCCATCTGCAACCGCAAAGCCAGTAGCAACTGCTGCCATCCCCGCTTCTTGCTCTGGTGCCGGGAGTCCTGCATTCCAAGGCAATCTGGCAGCAGGATGGAAAGCTACGAAGATTGCTGGGGGAATGACCAGCCCTCGAAGCATTCAGTTTGACAATGGGGGTAACATGCTCATTGTGCAGTCTGGCAAGGGCATATCATATCACAAGATGGGAGCGGATGGCTGTGTCACTTCGACAAAGATGCTGATATCGCAGAACAACCTCAACCACGGTATAGCTTTGAGCCACGATGGCAAGACGCTTTATGCAAGCTCGATGACCCAGGTCTATGCTTGGCCATACGACGCCGCAGCCGGTACCCTCGGAACCCGGGCCACTGTCGTCACAGGCATGTACAATGGTGGCTCGCATCTTACACGTACTCTTGCCATTGCACCTCAGAATTCGAACTTATTGGTTGTATCTCATGGTTCCAATTCCAACATTGATCAAGCTACATCAGACCCAAAAACAGGACGTGCCATAATTAAGGTCTTCGATCTAGCAAGCGTCCCCAGTGGAGGATACAACTACGTCAGTGGTGGTTACAATGCCGGCTACGGGCAGCGCAACGAAGTCGGCATCTGTTTCGACAGCAACAACATGTAAGTCATTTTACTGAAACCCCCCCCCCAAAATCCAGCATGAGAGGTTTCAAACTCACAAACACCTTCCCATAGGCTCTGGGGCGTAGAAAACAGCGGCGACGACTTCAAACGCAACGGCAAAGACATCCACAACGACAATCCCGGCGAGAAAATCCACTACATGGGCGACGTCTCCATCCCCAACAACGCCTGGTACGGCTACCCATCCTGCTTCACCGTCTGGAAACCCAGCGACTTCACCGACAAAGCCTTCAAAGTCGGCGACTGGTTCACCCAATCCCCCACGAGCAGCCTCAACGACGACACATGCGTGCAAAAAGCCACTGCTCCCAAATTAACGCTGCAGCCCCACTCGGCACCTATCGACTGCAAGTTCGATGCGAACAGCACGACCATGTATGTTACGTACCACGGTAGTTGGAATCGCCAGCCCGTCACGGGGTTCAAGCTTGTGGCTGTCAAGTTTAAGCGTGGGGGCGATGGGGGGTTTACGCCTGTGGAGCCGCTGACTAGTACGACGGCGGCACAGGACGTGTTTTTCAATCCGGCGGTGGAAAAGTGTCAAGGGAATGGGCCGGGGTATAGCTCGGGTTGCTTTCGGCCGGCGGGGTTGGCGTGGGATGCGGTGGGGAGGTTGTATATGACGTCTGATACGTCGAGTAATGGGGAGGTGTGGATTTTGGGGCAGACGTAGTTAGGGTTGTTTGTGAGGAGTACAGCGCGGCTTTATGAAGACGGGGATTGTGGTGGGGGGTAACTGGAATGTGCAAGTAGTTATTGGCAGTCTTGTCTTTTAAATGCAAAAGAGAGAGAGTGTGTGTGTGTGGTATGGAATCATATACAGTTTTTGAATTTGGAATCAGTTTGCCAACGGCAGGGAAGAGAGCATTTCCAATCCCATTGAACTCTCATCTTCTTTTCTCTTCCGTTCTCATTATTTGCCATTTTGGAAATTGGAAAGTCGTGCGCCAACCAAGGGCACCTTGCATACCGTCTCGTAACAGACTTGGTACCAAAACTAGTAAAGAAAAAAAAACCCCCCTCCCCTTTACTTCACAACCTTCTGATACACATGTCCCGTCCTCCTTATCTCATCCTCAGCATCCTTTCCCCTCCCCTCGGACTCCAACTTCCTCACTAGCGGCAATACTTCCTTGCCAAACCTCTCAATATCCTCCTCATAATGCAAATGCGCCGTAAGCACCAAGTCCACGCCCAAGCTCTTCAGCAGTAAAATGCGATCGGCAATCTGCTCCTTTGTGCCAATAAGCTTCGTCTTGAACCCATCATTATACTGCACCAAATCCTCGAACGAGCTATTCGCCCACATGCCCTTCTTATTCGCCGTGCTGGCACCAGCCTGCTGGACGGCCCCACGAAACGCTTCTACAGCCTCGACGTCGGCTTTGCCCTGGATTTCTTTGAGCACGCGGATGGCTTCGTCCTCGGTGTCGCGGATGATGACGAAGCCGTTGACGCCAAAGCGCACGCTGTCTTCGCGGCCGAACTTGCGGGCGCGAGCCTTGACGTCGGCGATTTGCTCGCGGAACCCGTCCAGGTCGTTGCCGTTCATGAAGTACCAGTCGCTTACCTCTGCGCCGTTGTGGCGCGCGTCGTCGCTGTTGCCGCCTTGGAAGATTTCTGGGTGCGGCTTTTGGAGCGGTTTGGGGGCCAGTTTGTAGTCGTGGAATTGGTACTGTGTGGAACAATCAGTATGTTGGCAAGAAAGAAGGGGAGTTATTGTGAAGTCGGGGAGTTTGGGGTCTGAGGGCAATGGGGGGGAAACATACAAAGTCTCCGGCAAATGAAAAGCCCTTGTCGTCGGCGGTCCAGATGCCTTTCAGGGCGCGGATGAACTCGTTGGTGCGTCTGTAGCGCTCAGCGTGTTCGAGCCACCACTGTCCGACGGCAGTAAATTCGCCCTTGTTCCAGCCTGAAACCATGTTTACAGCAATGCGGCCATTGCTGTAGTTATCGATACTCGCAAGCTGTTTTGCTGCAACGGTGGGGTTCCATATGCCGGGGAGTATAGCAGCAATCAATTTGAGGCGTTCGGTACTGTGCAGTAAGGCCTGGGAAAAGGAAACACTCTCGTGTTGATTGTCGGCTCCGTATGATGCCGTGAAGCGGATTTGAGTGAGCGCATACTCGAATCCATATTCCTCGGCTGTCCTGGCGTACCGCACGTTTGATGCAAGATCCCAATTTGTTTTTTGGGGTATTTTAGAAACCACAAGACCACCAGAGACATTGGGAACCCAGTATCTGTATTTTTCTAAGGTTAGGGCGTGCAGTTATTCTCGATTTCGGCGGGAAACTGCTCACGCGAATAATACACGATCTGGATCCTGATTGATGTCCAATTGTTTTATGGGCGTGAAGCTGTCTTCTGTTCCATTGGCATGTCCATTGGTGCCATTTGTACTGCTGCCTTCTACTTCTGCAAAGGAATGGTCAGTCGTATATTTTCTTGATTATTGTATCCCGCCCATGTTACCTGTCCGTTGCCTCTTGCGTGACGGCGACATGACTGTTTTGTGGAAATGATTATTTAAAACAGATTTGATAATCGAAATGTATGTCGAAAGGTCTTATAACAAGATGCCTTACTATCTTGAACCCGAATAAAGCATTGTCGACCAAATGTGCGCATTATAAGCGTAGATTGCGTGATATGCAAGCATACGTGAGGTCTGCGGGGTTGACGGGGGATCAGACCAGGGAGGTGAACTATAATCCAGGTCCATAGACAGCCGTCTCTCCACCGACGATCTTGTCCCAATCTAGTCCATCGTGACTCTAGGATCTTAGTATCTCCTATGATAGCCTATTCTACGGCCACGGCTTCTTCGGTTGGATGTCAACGACTTGAAGTCCAGAAAGAATGAGACAATCTGGAAAGCTGAAGGCGTGATTTTCGTAGATTGTAGTGCCGAACAAGGTACACGCCATGCTCTAGTGTAACGACTTGGATGATATAGTGCATCTTGACAAGACGTGGGATTATGAAAACTCGAATATGATGCACAACCTTACCCAGCATTACAAGTAAGGCCGAATCACGCCATTCATTCTCCAACAGTCGCGATGAATTCACACGGGTAGTAAGTGTCCAGCACACCGAGCCTGTTGCCACATCAATTGATGCTCGATTTGGTTCAGTACAAAAGGCGATCGATTGGATCCAGGAGATTACGCGAATCCTCTCATGCACAAAGACAACCATGGCTAACTCTTCGGCAACCGACCTAAAAAGCTCTGGGCATACTGATATAGAAAGGCAGGTCACCTACGAGGCACCTGTCGTACGAGCTCCCGCTCCGAAGACGTTGGGTTCTGGAGTAAGTGATGCTAACCACAAGACACACGATTTTGCTAAGATGTGAAGACAGCACTTCCAATCGGGGTGTTTGCGACGACTCTGACGGCACTATCGTTTAGTTTAATGGAATGGCGGGGAGTTACCACGAACAATGTCTTCGTAGCCAATTTCTTTTTTGCAGCCGCCTTTGGCAAGTTACTGGCGTGTATTGCGTTTGTAAGGCATGGCTAACATCAAGATAGGCATGGTGATTACTGCTCAGTGGGAGCTCTCCGTGGGCAATGGTTTCGCATATACAGTATTTAGTGCCTTTGGTACGTTGGATCATCCGACTGCTAGAGAGTGTTGGCTGACTCGCGGCAAGGTCTGTTCTACGCCGGTTACGGTGCGATCTTAACTCCATCCTTTGGAATTGTGGCGGCATATGGCGATAACGTAAAAGAACTCAACAATGCTCTCGGGTTCTTCATGATCAGTCAGTTACTCAAGACGACCAAGAAGTGACAGCGCCGCTGACAAGAGTGTAGTGTGGTAAGAGATACATGTACGAAATGCATGTGAGACATACACTAATTTTATACCTACTGATCTATCAGGACGGTTTTCGCCTTGGTATTCCTGGTAGCATCATTGCCGACAAACTTGGTATACATCATCATCTTCTTTACTGTGGAGCTGGGGTTCCTATTGATCGCTGCATCCTATTTCGCTGTAGCAGATGGACATGCCGGCGCCTCAACTGCTCTCAAAAAGGGTGGTGGGGTTTTCTGCTTTTTATCCGGATTGGCCGGTAAGCATCTACTGTTGGTCAATCGTACATGAGACGTACACTGACTTCGTATACTGTTTCATAGGATGGTACCTGGAGTTCGCCCTGTTGCTAAAGGACTCGATCGTCGAGCTACCACTTGGAGACACGTCAAGGTTCTTCGCGAAGAGCAGGAAGACGGAGTAAGCGGTATGCAGCAATGCCCCCACGTTGGGGTAACGTGAGGCACGTTGGAGACGTGCAGCTTGTCGGAGATTGTAATGGCCTGTGGGAAAGCTGGATTGAGGATGATGCGATTGAGGGGTTAGATGGCGAACGCGGTTCGGGGTCATTGGTGAGTTTGATTATTGGGGTTACAGTCTACATTTAGGTTAGCACAGATACAAGGATGTAGGTGTCTGTCGCTGCGAAGATCGGCGTCTGAATGCCATGCCCACATGTTGGAGTGTTAGAACGCTACTGCATTGGCGATCTACCCTACGGGATGAAAGCTGCGCTAGCTCCATTTGCGTGCCGGCAGACAATTCGACCCTGATCCTGACGCATGTACAAGTTCGGCGCGATATCCTTGTCTACACCCCTCCATTCTGATAATCACCACGCCCCGCTCATTGAGCAAACCATACCCCCCGCATATGTCTAAAAAATGAAAGAATAGCACGCAATATATTTGGGATATGGTATGATCCCAGAATCAGGTCAGCGGGAATGTGCATATAAAGATATGTACGGGAATGTAGATATTTGTACACCACGTAGCTAGAAGATATCAACATCTCAAACGCACACGATGGTTGCCACTAACGGAGCCAACGGAACCAACGGCCAGGCCGGTAACGCGCAACAAGTCAACTTCAGAGACCCGGCTGTGTATGCCGAGTACGAGAAGACATGGTCGTCGATTCCGCAAGATGAAGCGGGCTGGCTTAAACGTGCCCAAGCAGTCGCCGACGTTCTTGCTGCTGATGCTGTTGTGCGAGACCAAGAAAACAAGTCTCCCCGAGCCGAAGTAGCTCTACTCAAGCACTCTGGCCTTCTCAAAGTTCTTGGCCCAAAGCAGTACGGTGGTGGTGGTCAACCTTGGAGTGTTGGTAAGTTCGTATATCTGTGATACCGGCCACCGACACTGACTTGTGATAAGGTTATAGAGCCATCCGGAAGGTAGCTGAAGCAGATGGGTATGGCTTGACTTGATCTGTTTGACTATGCGTACTAACTATCGTAGCTCAATTGGTATGCTGCTTGGCTACCACCTTCTCTGGTCGACTACAGCAAACGTTGTCGGCTCAGCTGAACAAGCCGATCGCATTCAGAAGCTCATAATCGAGAACAATTATTTCATTGGCGGCGCCGTCAATCCTAGAGACAGTGATCTGTCCATCAAATCTGATGGCGACAATATTGTCTTCAATGGGTTCAAGTTCTTCAACACTGGTGGCGTTGTTTCTGATCTTACTGTTCTTGAGGGTGTCTACGAAAACACTGGGAACCACATCTTCGCCTTTGCAAAGACGAACCAACCTGGCATCCAATTCGGACACGACTGGAACAATATTGGCCTCCGTTTGACGGAATCTGGAAGTGTCAAAATCTCTGACGTGCGTGTGCCGTGGGCGGACGCGCTGGGCTGGAACATTGAGAAGGAGCCCGACCCACGGGCGCTGCAGATACCGTTTGCAACGCTGCTTCTCCCCACCATCCAGCTTGTCTTTAGTAACTTCTATCTTGGCATTGCTCTTGGTGCACAGCAATACGCTGCCAAGTACACTTTGAAGGGGACCCGGGCATGGCCTTTTGGTGGCGACGTAAGCACACCAATACCTACAAACCCTGATATGTGTTGCTAACGGCGCAAGTAGAACAAGGAAAAGGCAACGGATGAATTCTACATCCTCGAGCGCTATGGCAATTTCCATGCCCATCTCCGTGCTGCCTCTGCCCTTGCAGACCGCGCAGGCCAAGAAGTCGACGCCATCTACCAGAACTACGGAGGCGATTTGGACAGGCGTGCAAAGCTGACGGCACGCGAGAGAGGCGAGCTGGCAGAATGGGTGGCAAGCATCAAAGTTGTCGCAACAGACACTGGCCTTCGCGTTACTTCGGGCGTGTTTGAGGTGACTGGTGCAAAGGCGACGAGCCAAAAGGTAGGCTTGGATCGATTCTGGCGAGATATCAGGACGCACACGCTGCACGATCCTGTCGCATATAAGAATCGGGAGTTGGGTCGGTTTGCATTGTTGGACGAGGTTCCGGAGCCTACTTGGTATACTTAATTAATAGACTCTGTGAATGCAGGCACATGTACGGAGGCTGTCTTTGATAGGTTTAGTGGATGCATAGTAGCGGCTCGCAACTAAGACGCAATTGATGGTTTATGCTCGACATTGCGTGCAGCAGCCTGTGATATGGACAAAGCAAAAGCCCTGTGCCGGGTAGAGTGGTGGTGGTGGGGGGAAGAGCGGGTACCGGCAAAGCTGTGGGTGATTGCATGGTTGGAAGGCGATGCCCAAGGACGCAGTGTGCCTGGCAGAACCTGTTCTCTAGCAGGACGATCGTCGATGTAGGCTAGTTTGTGGCTGATTGGGATTCTGGTGTGCGCTGGCGATTGCCATGTGATGCAGCGGGGCCAGGGAACCGGTTTTCTGTGCCATGTGCATGATAGGGGATAGATGAAGGCTGAGTGTTGGCGGGTGTTTGGGCGAGGAGGATGGACTTGGGGGAGAATGCCATGGGCCGGGCGACAAAGCGCATGAGCAGGGAGTTGGGAGGAAGCGACCAACCACGGCCACTAGGGCCGGTTTCACCCGGCTAGACGATATTGATATGTACCGTGGACATGTACATGTACATGTACATACATGTGCAGCCAAGCCATCCGACTGGCGCAGGCGTAGAGGCGTGACTGGAGTGGGGTGTCGAGGCCCGACCGAAGAGTTTTCCAAGCAATGAAGCAATGCTTGTCAGCACACGCCTGGCCACAAGGAGAAGCATAGTGGACGCATGGGGAGGGTGTGTCAGCGGTGGCAGCAGTAGCAGCGGACAGTCGCGGAAGACACTGGTGGCCTGGGGCTTTCTGGCGGGCGTTATCATTCAACCGTGTCGCCAGTCTTGGTGCCAGCAGCTCTTGGTTCCGTACACCTGCTGTCATTGCTCCCCGGCGTCGCTGCCATTGGAGTCCGCGGGCTCCTGGATGCAACTCTGGATACTCGCACTCGACCCTCTTACTCGAGACAGACAAGAGGTGCAGTCTGGCAGTCTAGAAGCGTGCCGGCTACGTCACGCTTGCGCAAGGGTTGCACCTTCCCTCGGATCGGTACTAAGCCTCTGCCGCGCTAGGGCCGGACGAACCTAGTGCTAGTGGTGCTAGTCTGCTGCCCGTACGCTCTCACGTCATAGCCGAATTCACTCTCCGCCCTCCGTGCCCATCACGCCGTGGCCCGGCTAGCCGCTATACTTGAACGTCGCATCTGCTCTGCCGCCGCTTGCTAGTAGCTCTTCGACTTCAGTTATTCTTTTTTTCTTCTCTCTCTCTCTCAAAACCCCCAAGGTCGCTCATCCCGCCTACTCTCTGCTCTCCAAGCAACTCCCCCGCGTCGGCTTGCCCCACTCTGCGCCTAGGTAGTCTAACCACGCACAACGGGCACAGCTCTCGCACCATTGCAACAATGGGCTCTCTCAAGAAAGCGCTAGACAAGCTCAAGTCGGGCCATAGCGGTTCTGCCTCCGACGACGACAAGAGCGGCGTCAAGTCGCCCACCACCAATGGCAGGGCACGCTCACCCGCCAGCACTCCGCGCTCTTCCGTCACTCTGCCTACTGGCCGCGCCAGTGCCGACCTGAAGCGCAACGACCCTTCCTCGCCCAACGAGAGCAGAAGCAGCCTCGACGGCCAGCACCGTGGCTCTCTGAGCGGTATGCTCCACCGCCGTACAGATAGCCCCAACCGCTCGTCTGCAAAGGCAAACTCGCACCAACGCTCAAGCTCCCTTTCCGCCAGCAGCCCCATGCGCGCCGTCAAGGAGAAGCTCCACCTTGGCAATGACTCCAGTGACGACGATACGCCCCTCAACCGCAATGGCGAGCCCATGTCCCGCGGGCAGCTGCGCAAGCATGAGAAACAGGCCCAGCAAGAAGAGCGTTACAAGCAGAATCGCGAGAAGGAGATGGAGCTGGAGCGCCGTAGGAAGGAGATGGAGCAACAGGCTCTTGCTGAACTCACGCCCGAGCAGAGGGCCAAGTACGGTGTCATCCCTCCCAACAGCTATGCTGGTGAATGGAAGCACGAGCCTCGCCACAAGATCCAGGACTTTTCCGCAAAGGATGTTGGCAAGGAAGTCGTCTTCCGTGCCCGTATCCACCACCTGAGAAAGATGAGCTCCAAGTTTGTCTTCCTAATGTTCCGCCAGCAGCTCGCTACCATTCAGGGCGTTCTTATGGAGCACGCAGATATTTCCAAATACATGCTGTACTGGGCTGAGCATCTCGACGCCGAGACGGTGGTCATTGTCAAGGGTATTCTTCAAGAGCCCAAGGCTAAGCAGGGCGAGGTCCTTGGTGCCACTATCCACGACGTCGAGATTTCCGTCCACGCTTTGCACGTCGAAGCCTCCGTTACAGACCACCTTCCCTTCAACGTCAACGAAGCCGAGGTATCCCAGGCTGAGGTTGATGCTGAAGCTGCCAAGCTTGCCGGAGAGGAACGCAAGGAGGGACATACCCGAGTCAAGATTGCAGACCGCACTCGTCTCAACAACCGCGTAATCGACCTAAGGACAACTGCATCGCAGGGCATCTTCCGCATTCAGTCTGGAATTTGCAGGCTGTTCCGTGAGCATTTGGACTCAGAGGGCTTCATCGAAATCCACACTCCCAAGCTGCAAGGTGGCGCAACAGAGTCTGGCGCCAGTGTCTTCAAGATTGACTATTTCGGCCGTGGCGCTTTCCTGGCCCAGAGCCCTCAGTTGGCCAAGCAAATGGCCATCTCTGCGGATTTCGGTAGGGTGTACGAGATTGGCGCCGTGTTCCGTGCTGAGAACAGTAACACCTACCGACACTTGACTGAATACACCGGTCTCGATCTCGAGATGCAGATTGACGAACACTACCACGAAGTCTTGCGTGTGCTGGATCGAACGTTCAAGGCCATCTTCAAGGGTATTTATGAGCAGTACCGCCCTGAGATTGAGGTCATCAAAAGGCACTTCCCGCACGAGGACTTGGTCTGGCTTGACGAGACCCCCATCATCCCATTCGCCGAAGGTGTTCGTATGTTGAATGAGTCTGGGTGGAGGGATGATGATGGAAACGAGCTTGATGAGAACGAAGACTTGGGAACCAGGGACGAGGTCCAGCTTGGTCGCGTTATCAAGCAGAAGCTAGGCACCGACTACTACGTCTTGGACAAGTTCCCAGCAAATGCTCGACCCTTCTATGCCATGAACGATCCAAACAACCCCAAACTCACGAATTCATTCGACATTTTCTGTCGTGGCCAAGAAATCCTCAGCGGTGGTCAGCGTATCCACGACGCTGATCTGCTATTGGACAAGATGCGCAAGCTCAAGATCGACCCCAGTTCGATGGAAGAATATATCCAGGCCTTCCAATGGGGTGCACCACCACACGGTGGTGGCGGTATTGGCCTCGAGCGTATTCTCATGTTGATGATGGGCCTTGGAAACATTCGTCATGCTTCCATGTTCCCCCGCGATCCAAAGAGTTTGCCAGAGAAGCCAGTCATCAAGCAGCTACGTCACCCAGAGGCAAGCACGATGCACCCTCCGTGGGAGGGACAAGACCGCGCTGTCGCAAAGATTGACTTTCAGCCCATTGAGAAGCTCATCGCCAACTACGGAGATGCCACAAATACATCATGGTTGGAGCCCCGCACAGAGATCTGGCGAGACGAAAACACCGGTGCAGCTGTTGGTTTCGTGCCTCAGGATGGCTTCGCTATCACTGTTGGTGACCCTCTGTGCCATGAGTCTCAGTACCTCAAGACCATGTCTGGCTACCTCCGATATATCAAGAAGGAGCGCAACCTGAAGCCGCTCTGGCTGCTTGTAGGATCGGCCGCCGAGGAGGTCCTGGCAACCAAGTTCAACTGGCGCACATTCTCCGTCACTGGAGAGCAGCGCGTCGACCCTGCACACAACCCTGCCGACAAGGACTCAGATGTGCAGCGCAAGATTCGCCATGCTGAGAAAGAGGGTATTAAGATTACCGACTATGCTCTCGGCTCGCCGCCACCACCAGATGTCAAGCAAAAGGTCGATGCTCGTGTGGAGGATTGGCTGAAGAATCGCAAGGGCAAGCAGGTTCACTTGACCAACATTCACCCATGGCAAGACGAGGAGCATCGCCAGTATCACGTTGCAACTGCGCCGGATGGTACCATTGTTGCCTTTGTCACCATGGCCCAGCTGTCGCCAGACCACGGCTGGCAAGTCAAGTACTCTCTGGACTTCCCCGGCGCACCCAGTGGCTCGATTGAGCAAGTCGTCACACATGCTCTCAAGCAGGTCGCAGCAAGCGGCGCTACAAGCGTCACTTTTGGCGGTGGTGCTAGCTCCAAGTTCAGTCCTGGGCACAATGTCAAGGGCACCCGTGTCAAGGTGCTCAGTCGCGCATACCACGCGATTGCAACCGAGCTCAAGCTCACCAACAAGACCGAGTTTCGCGAGAAGCTGGGCGCGACGGACGACCCGAGTTATATTTGCTATCCGCCTCATGGGCTGGGCCCTATGGCGGTCAAGGCCATCCTGAACTTTTTCTCGGATGACGAAGACAATAACTAAAGTATACATTCTATTGGAGAATACACACAGGTTACAGTAAAGAGGCATGGTGGGATGGACGGATGACCGGATGGACGGATGGATGATTCGCAGGCATGATACCACTAGGCGTTTTGCTGTTAGTCAGATAGGTATTAGGGATACCCGTGCTACTAACTCGAGTAACTTTTGAAGTTGGAAGACGTTTTCACACATCTAGATAGTTTTGATTTCTTAATGTACTTAATACCCTCTTCGAAATCTTGCACCGTATCGGCCCACTCGATGACGCTGCTGAGCTGACTTTGCATGCGCTGATTTTTATATGAACTTCGGGTCTATTTCGGTAATATTCCCGATGCTGGGGGTCCTGGAGTCGCACAACGCATACATGCGGCGGAAAGATCGGCAGTCTTGTACCACATGAGGGTGCACGTCATTCCTTGATACCTTCATACATTGCATTCGCCTTGTGGGTCTTTCTGCGCATGTTTCTCGCAGCTCGGAGAGCAGCACGTGCAATCGGCTGCTGGCCGGCCGTTGACAACGTCTCCCGATGAAAACGACAGACACGCGGGGAATATTCGGCGCACTAGTGTAAGGCGGGGTCGTAGAGCCGGGCTTGTAGGTTGTTCGGAGCCAGGACACGGCTATGTAAGGAGGATACTGAAGGGTTGTGATTGGCTGTCGACAAAAGCTCATAACAGTATCGCCGCTGATTTGAGGTTTGACGTTTACCCGTCGCGTGTCGACATCGGAACTTGGAAACGACGACGCTCCGCAGCGCCTGCTTGACAGGGAGATTACGCCCGTGGGAGAGGCGCGGGCGGGAAAGTATAAGGATGGCCGAGTCTACGTCCATACGCAACCAAGGAGAACAGTGGGATTCCTTTGTTTGCACAGCATTGCCCCACGAGTGAAGACACCCGAGCCCAGTGCTATAAACGACTAGCAGACGGCTGTCCCTTGACCTCACACTGCCTGCAAATCCTCCCTCTTGTTAGCAACAATGTTTCTAACTTCACTTCTTTTAACGCCTTATACCATCCTTCTTCTGCCGGTTATCTTCTATCTTCTCCCCTACCTTCGGAACTGGCAGATCCGCGACATACCGGCGCCATTCCCAGCCGCTTGGACCAATCTCTGGCTGCTTTACCAGTGCCGCCGCGGGAAGCGTTTCCTTGCCGTTCACGAAGCACACCAAAAGCTTGGAAAGTTTGTTCGTATTCAGCCTCATCATGTCAGCATTGCTGATGCAGACGCCATTACCCAAGTCTACGGCCATGGCAACGGCTTCTTGAAGAGCGAGTATTACGACGCTTTCGTATCCATTAGGAGAGGGCTGTTCAACACTCGGGATCGTGCCGAGCACACCAGGAAGAGGAAGACGGTCGCCCACACTTTCTCTGCCAAAAGTGTCTTGCAGTTCGAACAGTATATCCACCACAACTTGCAGGAATTGCAATACCAGTGGGATCGCCGAGCGGATGGTGCTAAGAACCAGGGCGGATGGTATAACATGGATGCGCTGAACTGGTTCAACTACCTCGCTTTTGATGTCATTGGTGACTTGGCTTTTGGAGAGCCTTTTGGCATGCTGAGGAAGGGAAAGGATGAGGCTGAGGTCGCCAAGGATGGAAAGATTACATATGCACCGGCTATCGAGGTCTTGAATCGAAGGGGAGAAGTCAGCGGGTACGTCAAATTACTGCCTGCAACTTTCGGCTGACATGAAGGACTAACATGACGCAGAACCGTCGGAATTTTCCCTGCCATCAAACCCTATGCAAAGTACTTCCCGGATCCATTCTTCAGCAAAGGCATGAAGGCCATCGAGAATCTTGCTGGTATCGCCATCGCTCGTGTCAACGCTCGTCTTGAAAAGCCATCCGACCGTGTGGACCTACTCGCCCGCTTGATGGAGGGCCGCGACGAAACCGGCAACAAACTCGGTCGTGAAGAGCTTACAGCAGAAGCCCTTACCCAACTAATTGCCGGCTCAGATACCACTTCAAACACCTCGTGCGCTCTCCTCTACCACTGCCTCAAACACCCTGAAGTTGTCAAAAAGCTACAGAAAGAGTTGGACACTGCGCTTCCAGACCCAGACGCCGTCCCCTCCTATGCTCAAGTCAAAGACCTTCCATACCTGGACGCTGTGATTAAAGAGGCGATGCGCATCCACAGCACCTCGTCTCTCGGACTTCCGCGCCTCATCCCCCCTGGTCCTGGCATCACGATTCTCGGCCGTCACTTCCCTCAAGGCACCGTCCTCTCCGTGCCAGCATACACGATCCATCACTCGACCGAGATCTGGGGCCCCGATGCAGACACGTTCCGTCCTGAGCGCTGGGAGAACATTACAGAGAAGCAAAAGGCAGCGTTCATTCCATTCAGCTATGGTCCACGAGCTTGCGTGGGCAGGAACGTCGCTGAGATGGAGCTGGCATTGATTGTTGCGACGGTGTTTAGGCGGTATGAGTTTGAGCTTCGACAGGATGAGATGGAGACTAGAGAGGGCTTCTTGAGAAAGCCATTGGGATTGGAGGTGGGAATGCGAAAGAGGGTGTTCTCGTGATTCTTGGGGTGTGAAAAGGAAATCTGTTTCAATATAACTTGGCATGATATTTTGATATTGCTCACACAAGGTTTTTTGCCGTACGGACATAGTGATGTAATTAGGCCTAAGAAGTATTCGTGATAGTGCTAGATATATCATCGTCGCTAGAAGTCTTGGCGATTAGGGTGAGAGCGTTGAAGTGAAAATGGTTCACATATAGGCATATGCTAACACGTGAACTGGTGTTGGGTGGAGCCGTGACGTCGGGGAAAGTGAAAGCGCGCCAGCCTAGTGTGGATGCACGGGCCACGTATGTTAGCGTCCATCGTCGCGATACTCCCGAACAACGCGCATGGCAGAGCCGGGCGTGCCCTCAACAACGACCGCAGCCCTCGACCCAGCGCCCCCCCCCCGCCTTCCGCCCTTCCCCAGCCCGGCCGCACACTCGGGAGCCAGGACTGCCTGCGCCGCCCATAATGGCGCCCCTCGAGCTCGCCGATGCAATGGACGACGCCTCGTCGGGCGACTCTTTTACCCTGCTGAAGCAGCAGCTCGAGCTCGACTTCAGCTTTGCACCGCACCGGGTCAAAGGCTTGACCACGCTTGACATTCAGCCCGACCAGGCCCAGCTGCGAGACATCACCCTCAATTGCCGCCAACTCCGTCCCACGAGCATCCGTATCCAAGGCGAGAAGGCCGCCTTCAGCTATTCGAATCTGCACCAGCGCCTAACCCTCTACCCCGGCACCGGCCTCGAGCAGTATCACTTCGTCAAGCAGCGCATAGCGCGACACACCTCTGGCGCTGAGGACGAGCTGGTTATCACAGTGCCTGACAAGGTCAGGATTCGGGAAGTGAAGCCGTCGGAGGCTGGCATGACGGATGACGCACCAGGCACCTTTTACGCGCCGCTGAAGCTTGAGATTGAATACGAAATAGACGATTTCCGGGACGCGCTTCACTTTGTCGGTGTCGAGGATGGAGATGCTCGCTTCCCGCATGCATATACGCGCAACTCATCTTTCCCCGGCACCGCATCTTGCCTGTTTCCGTGTATAGACGACGGCGAGACGAGATGTATCTTTGAAGTCTCTATTCGCTACCCGCGCACGCTGGGTGATGCTCTCAGCAAACCCTCGCCACCGAATGCGAACCCTAATGGACCGCCAGCCGATGGAGTCGACAAAGCCGATAGTGTTATGTTGGATGTGGACGATGAGCAAGCCGATTTATCCGAGGAAGAGAAGGCCATGGAAATGCAAGTCATTTGCTCCGGCACTCTGACTGATGACGTGAGTACCTTCCATGGCTTATTGTGTATGCTTTTCTAACATGTATAGATTCTCGATCCTGCTGACCCAGCGCGAAAGACTGCAAGCTTCTCATGCGATACTCCCGTCCTTCCCCAGCACATTGGCTTTGTCATCGGACCTTTCGAACATGTTGATCTCTCTGAATACCGTGATACCCTGGATGACGAGCGCTTGGGCGAAAATGCCATCAAAGTCCACGCATTCTGCTTGCCCGGTAAGGAAAACGAGGTCCGGAACAGTGCCATGATGCTCGCTCGAGCTCTCGATACCTTCACGGAGCGATTCCAGAGTTATGCGTTTGGGAATTCCTACAAACTCGCATTCGTAGACGACTTGGATTGCGATACTGCGCACACAGCCTCATTTTCAATCTGCAGCTCGCGCCTGCTTTTTCCGGAAACCGTTTGGGAACCACTCGAGCACACGACCAGGGTGTTGGTACACGCAGTAGCCAGCCAGTGGATAGGTGTTGATGTTATCGCACATAATCTGGAAGACTACTGGATCATCGTTGGCGGCTCGTGGTTCATGGCTGAACTGTACCTCAAAGAACTCTTTGGCCGAAACGACTGGCGCTTCAGGCAAAAGTTGATGGTAGACAAGGTCATTTACATGGATCGCAAGCGCCCATCACTCCAGCAGCTTGCAGAGCACATGCAGTTGGATCCTCGTGAGGCCGAATTCATGGAACTCAAGTCGCTGATGGTCCTCTCTATCCTGCATAACCGCCTGGTGAAACAGAGCGGCAAGAACGGTGTTGACAGGTGCCTGTACCGGATGCTGTTTAATGCCCGTCAAGGAAAGTACCCCAACGGCGCAGTCACCACTGATGACTTTCTCGATATCTGCGAGAAAGTAGGCCACCAGAAGCTCGAATCTTTCTTTCAGCAGTGGATTGTAGGCGCAGGATGCCCCACATTCCACTGCGTTCCTTCGTTCAACAAGAAGAAGCAAGTGGTTCAGCTTACCATCAAACAGCTCCAGGCCGACTCATCCATCACAACAATTGAGAATGGTCTTGCGGCAGATGATTTTATGCGCGAAGCGAAACAGAAATCTCGCGATTTGCGGTCAGCAACAGGATATCCCACCTTCGTAGGCCCCATGACTATCAGGATCCACGAAGCCGACGGCACTCCCTATGAGCATATTGTCGACATCAACTCGAATAATGTCAAAGTTGAGATTCCGTACAATACCAAATACAAGCGATTGAAAAGGAATCGATTGAACAAGGAGCGTATGGCCGCCGCCGCCGGTCTCGACGCTTCCGGCGAAACGCAAGAAGATGTTACATTTTACATGTTAGGAGACCTTTTTACTTCACCCCAAGAACACGAAGAATGGCGCCTCGACGATTGGCCGCCGGAAGACGAAGCTAAGCAAGAGGGGGAAGCGTACGAGTGGATCCGCATCGACGCAGACTTTGAATGGATATGTCGGACCAATATTGAAGATATGCCGTCGTACATGTACGTCTCACAGTTGCAACAGGACAAGGATGTTGTTGCACAAGCAGAGTCTATACAGTTTCTTGCCAACAAAGAAGGCCACCCGTTGATCTCCACTTTCCTGGTCAAGACGTTGATGGACAATCGGTATTTCCACGGTATACGGACCATGGCAGCCATGGTCCTTGCCCAGAGCGCACTGAAGCGGACTCAGTGGGTTGGACTCTTCCACCTGAAGAAAGCCTTTCGTGAGCTGTTCTGCTTGCCAAACTCACCAATGACTCGATCAAATGACTTTTCTGACCGCAGCATGTATCTGATACAATGCGCTATTCCCAGGGCCATTGCTAAGATCAAGGGCGAGGACGGCAGATCGCCACTAGAGGCTAAGCGTTTCCTACTAGATCTCGTGCGATACAATGACAACCGCGGAAATGATTACAGCGACGACCACTACATTGCCACACTGATGCGATGTCTGGCTGAAACCCTGACCAAGACGAACATCAGTTCCGAGCTCAGCCACGAAGAATGGGCGCAGGAACAGGACTTTACCAACAAGGCTATTGGAGAGCTTACTCGACACCAGAGGCTTGACGAATGGATTCCTACGTACCAGAACGTGTACACAACCACTGCGCTTGATTGTGCGTTCAAGCTGGTTACAAGCCGAGTGACTCCCTTCAAACCTACCGAGTTTCTGCAATACGCGCAACTAGGGAATGCAGACAATGTGCGCTTAAAAGCGTGGGAATGTCTTATTCGGCTTGGCATGTTCCGCAAAGATTCGGTCATGAGGTTTCTAGTACATGAGATTCGGTCTGATCCTTCGCCGTACTTCAGAAAGCAAATGCTCCGTATTCTTGGCCTTGCCATTGGTCAGGTGGCTACCGGCGATGTTTGGGCGCCAGAAAAGGCCGCCGAAACTGCTGCAGACACCCTTGTGGTTGAGAACGAAGCGAGCAACGCCGAACGCGCATCCGCCCTTGCTCGTCAGAACCTTAACGGAGCTCTGAGAGGTTTGAAGAGTGACCTGCAGGGACACCAAACTTTGCGGTCGGTACTCGAGGAGGCGCTCAAGTCCACAACTTTGTCTGTCAACGACATGTCTGAGATCTTGGACATATGCGATATGATCTTCGACAACCAAAAGGTCAACAAGCTACCAGTCAAGTTGGCCCTTCCACGTTACTGGACTGTAGAGCACCTAGGGAAAGCAGTGCTGCGCTTCAAGCAGACCAAGAAATACAGGACGACTCCCAAGCGGCCTTTGGTTGCCCCCGCTCCAGCCCCTGCTCCAGTTCTTCCGGTTGCTCCACCTCTTCCTTTACGAGAGCCAGTACCTCCGGTAGTGAAACCAACCGGTCAACCGAAGTTGTCGCTGAAGATTGGTGGGCTATTAAAGAACAAGAGTGCGTCGTCTCCACCGACAGCTGTCGACTCTATTCATGCCAAGTCGCGCAGTCAATCAATGGTGTTTTCGCCCACTGTTCACTATTCGCCATCTCCTATTGCTCAGTCCGCTAGGCCATCTCCAGCACCACAACCGCAGACGCAGACGCAGACGCAATCGCAGCCGCAATCGCATCCGCAGTCTCAGCCATCTCAGTCGTCCCAGCCTACCGCCACTTCTGCTCCTACATCTGCTCAGCCAGATTCTCGAGCCTCTACACCAGAGATACCATTGATGCAGCAACCTATGAAGAAGGTGTCTACTCCAGCAGCAACACCCAAACCAGGAACACCGGCACCAGTATCGGCTACTGCTCCGGCTGCAGCTTCAGCACCAGCACCGAAGATAGTCACCAAAACTCCGGTTCCGCCACCAAGAGTCTCCGTACCAGCTCCCAAATCAGCCTCTGTTCAATCAAAACCGGCAATCGCAACTGTCAAGATACCAAAGTCTGTATCCACACCAACCATATCATCGCCCGTCCCCCTACCTGCCCCCAAACTCAAGATCAAGACGAAGACTGCCAACGGTTCGACCGTGACTTCCAGGCCATCAAGCGCAGCTCCTTCACCACGTCCCAGCGCCGCACCTTCGCCTCGACCAACCGTCGTCCCGCCCCCTCGCCCCACTGCATCCGTCCCCGGTCCTGTCGCCCGCCCCATCATCAAGCAAAAGCGAAGCAAAATTGTCAAGTTACGCCTCGCACCGCGCCTCCTCTCCCGCTTCACAGGCGACACCAAGAAACGCAAGCTTATCCTCGGCCACCACGGCGACGACAACCGCCCCCTCAAGCGCCAGAGC